AAGTGGAGCTGCGCACATAAAAGCTGTCTTACCTAAGACAGTCCTTGCTCTTGGCACATCTAACAATACTACATCATGCGATCTCAGACAATAGCTGCTTGCAACTCTCTGTGTTATCAGAGAGCAGATATAATACGGGAGTTTACCCAACAAAGCTTTATAAATAAACGTGTACCAATGACTGAGCCTCTTTACAGTAAGTGATGGCAAACCTGCCTTGGCATACAGGGTACAGTGATGAGTAAGTGCTTTACAATTTGTGACAAATCTCAGTGCGCTGTCATAGGCGGCATCTAACTTGTTCAGGCAATAGGTAGGTGCATTCATATACAACAAATCACCAAAGTCCAGCACAGGTAAAAAGGTCACAGTGACTAGCCTTTTCCTGGCTTCAAATGAGAAACAGGACTTGTTTTCTAAAAAAGAAACCTAGCCTAACCCTCAGCTTTTTAAGCAGGTTATTGACATGAAGTTTAAAAGTAAGACAATCATCAAGCCAGATACCAAGGTATTTATAACAGGTAACCACTTCTAGTACTTGTCCTTGCATAGTAACAATATCTAAAACAGGCTCTGGTGTCTTTTTAGCTTTTGAAAATAGCATTACCTTGGTTTTATCAACATTTAAAAGAAGCTTTAGTTCAGAGTCTCAAAACCCACCTCTTCAACTCTGCTTATCCTTAAACCCGCCCCTCCCCCCTCTGAATCAACATCCTCCTGACTGCTTTTCTGTTTTTGTTTTGTTTTTGTTTGTGTTTTTGTTCTTGTTTTGTTTGTCGACCTGACTCATAATGTAAAGTGTCTTTGGGTCTAGAAAAGCGCTATATAAATCCCATTTATTATTATTATTATTAGAGAGCTGAGTCTGAATAATGTTAAAAACAGCCTGTAATTTAACAACCGCCTCCTGAATGGAGGGACCTGCACAGTACTTCACGGTATCATCCGCATAAAAATGTAAAGTAGCTTCATTCACATTTTCACCTAAACTGTTGATATATATGGAGAATAAAAGTGTACCTAAAACAGAACCTTGAGGAACACCATTAGAAATGTTTAACCACTCAGCCCATCAAAGTGAACACATTGGGACATTTCAGAGAGGTAGTTCACAAACCATGCCACTGCATGGCTGGATATGCCAATACTGACCAGCCTCTGCTTTAAGATGCGATGATCAATGGTGTCAAACGCTTTGGACAGGCCAATAAATAGAGCTGCACAACTCTGCTTATTATCTAAAATACTCGTAATGTCATTCACCACTTTCATTGTGGCAGTGATGGTGCTATGTTGCTTTCTGAAGCCTGACTGATGTTTAGACAGGATATCATTTTTACATAAAAACTCCTTTACTTGTTCACTCACTAGGCGTTCGAGCACCTTCGCCAGAACTGACAATTTTGAGATTGGCCTATAGTTATTTAAAATACGATGTGTTTAGTTTCCACAAAACTGTATCAAATCTATAAATTATCACAAGTCGTGCAGTATAATCCAGGTCTCATTTATCCAATTGTATCTACTTCCCTAACAACTTTGCGCTAAGACCTTGCCAAATAAAACACTTTCACACAAACCGTCTCCCACCTGAGCAGGTGCCGGCTTCTTCAATGTGAGAAGTGTATGCAGAATTATGGAGGCATTAGAGAAAATTTCAGTTTTCTTCACATATTCAAGCGTAACAAAGGGTTAATACATTGATATAAAAAAAATAAAAACATTTGGGGGATAAGTGTTGATTGAAGCGTCCTTTATTTACAGTTTAGTCAGTGTTTAATTGATGTAATACCTACCTGAGCCGTCAACTTTTACAGGGGATGATGCAAGTGAGGAATCTGAAGATTTGCCCAAAACTACACCTCAGCGGTCTGAACGCAGTCAGATGATCATCTGGCAGAATCCCACCCCCTCTGTGCCCAGCCCTGCCCTCTGACACTGATCATCTCAAAGTGCTGCCCTTTTGTGATGAGATATGGACGGAGAAGACACTTACTGTACACCAGCAAAGCTAGAGACATCATTGAAAATGGTGCTTTCATGGAACTGAATGAACCATCGTCTCAATGAGGCAGCAATGTAAACATCCTCTAGAAAATATTTATATATGATTGATGCTGTTTCATCCTTGTTTACCTCATTCATGTTGTACATCTATCTTTTGACTGGATTTTTTTTGATGAGTGTTGAAGCCTTATGTGTGTCTTCTCTGATTTTATAAAATGTCCGTCAAACTGGTCAGTAATTCAGCTGCCTGATTAATAGCTGATTTTTACATTTGCACTAACAATACGTTGTGTTTCCCTGACGAATAGCTTTCATCCATTTACCTTCCATGCTGAGCTGTCATTCACATCTGCATATATGTATATATCCTACATATATGGATCATAAAGTTAAACTTAACAAGGTGGCTGCTCTCGTGTTAACTGGAAACAGGTATTGATCTTCTCTCAGCATAAGACAATCAGACACTTATCTCTGGAGGCTGTATTGCATATGGTGTAAAACTTCTTTGATTGTGATTTGTTTTTTGTCTTTTCTTTTCAAACTTCAACCCCTCCTTGTATGTTATGGTGCATTAACAAACAACTGCACATTCTAAATGTCTGTGTACGTGTTATCAAGTATTCTAATTGAACAATTACAGCGCTTGTCTTAGAAATTATTTATTTTCCCAAAGAGCACTATGCCTTATGTATTCAAATGTTTTTATTTGTTTTCTGTTTAAATTTGATTTCAGTACTTTGTAAAATAAGGGAGATTATTCTTTCAGGTGTCCTATGCAGTATTTATGTGCAATCACGAGTTTGTGCCGTAATGTTGATGTCTAAGCATCTCCTTGTCTTTCTTGGAAAGAAAAATAAGGCTAGAGTATTCCTTCTGACTCAACTGTGTGCAATCATGATTATTGTCATTAAAAAAAAAAGGCCTTCAATGGTTAATGGAGTAACTTTTATTCTGGGTTGTTTTGCTATAAACTGGTGCAGCAACTAAAAGTGAGCTCAAAGGTTGAATGAACAACCTCAGAGGAAATCAACAAAATAAATAGAGAAGATGAATATTTTACATTACAGCCAGCAGGGAAGTCCACGCTATACATTCAAGAAGAGAGGATACGAATTATAGTTTTTTTGTCATGTGAACAAGGTGTTTGTTATCACAAGAGGCGTGTTTGTGAAGAGAGCCACAAACAGCAGTGGCACTCCTTTGCCTCAGGCAGCTTGGCCTGCTGCCTGGTGAGGGACAGCCCTCTTTGTAACAGTCAGTCAGTCTGTTGGTATCTTTGGGCTCCGCTTCCTAAGTTGGGCTGCTGCGAGTCCTGGGGATCCGTATCCTGCGGCTCAGGGACCGTGCAAGGCGGTCCATAGCTCCACCAACTGAGCTCCCCAACTCCTTTCTGGAGGTCAGACCCTCAATGTTGCCGCTGTACCACATGACCCAGCCTGCCAGGGAAAAGAGCACCAGTAGGGCCCCTGTGTACACCAGCAGATCCCCAAAGTCTCGACCTTGGATCTCCAGTGGGGCGAAGACCCCCAGCAGCAGGGATATCACACCCAGCAGGTCCATGAGCACTGCGAACACCAGGGCCAGTTTACAGTGGGACAAGCCGTCATATTTTGGTGCCATGGCTGCACGGAAAAAGAGAGGGGGGGGGTGTTACAGTTCAGTTTAATAACAAAAACAGGGGCATACTATAAAATGATTCATGGCATTTACCAATTGATTACCTAAAAACAAAAATTATTATTGTCAATGATATTTTGATTAACATAAAGCAATGATAAAATAATTTTCATGATAAATGCTAACTCTTTAAAAGGTTGTTTGACATACCCTTGATTAAAAACAGTTGCAACAAAAACGTTCACGAATCAAACAGCAGAACACATTTTGTAGAATACACAGTACACCTGTAATGCATGCATTTTTGAGAGGTTACATTTGTGTTGTGGCTGTTATTAATAATAGTAATATCTTAATGTTTAACTTTGTATTAATAAATCAAGTAAATAGTGGATTGTCACTATTAACAAAAATGCCATGTAATTTGTGTTTAGTAGATTTAGAGGAAGTCTGACCCAACCTTCAAACTTGATCGTGTTCCCACTATTTTTTAACTAACGCAGCAACCTGAAAAAGTACATTTAATTTGTACAATACTGCCTTCTGTTTCTTACATGTTAACCCGGCTCTGCAGAACAGGTGCCACACCTGTTCCGTATGTTTCAACGGACTTCTTTTATATGCAGGAGAACTTCAAAACTGCGAACTATGGGATACACGAGTACACACATGTTTACGGCAAACTACATCTCAAGCTTAAAGTTACCTGTTTGCTGCGTATATGAGATTCAAACGCGATGGAATTCGTCCGTTTTGAACATTTCCGGATCGTCTCTAGAAAAGCCACAGTAAATAATGAAACCTGACACTGCGTCACCTGCTCCACCTGCTCCACCTGTCTACCTTTATACCCGTCGAGGCTTAGAGGACAACATGCTGGTGCACATCTAGTCCTTTCTCAAACCTTACTAACGTTTCTATTTTTATGTAACTATCACTGAACTGCAACTCACTTTTGTATTATTATAATTAGGCTATTGTTGTATGATATTTATTGTCATCAGGCTTAACTTTGTTTACATTGTGTTCTCTAATGAGCCTACTACTGATAATGCATTTCTTTCAATATAGTTTGTAAACTTTCTGCTTCAACTAAAAATAAAAATAATGTTACATTTAAATAATAATCACATCAGCAAATTGCACCCGAATATGTAATTTCACTGCACATAAAATTATTATTAATATTTTATCTCTAAATGATTTATTTTCAGTTAAAAAAAAACGTTGATTTAAATACTGCCATAAGCAATAATTAACTTTAATAACAAAGCCTTTTTATGACTTATTTAATGCGTTTGTAAAGAAAGGTCATTCATTTGGTTACATCCGGAAATGACGCGTTTGTTGAAAAAATAAAAGAGCGATAATTGTTATTGTTAGCTTGTTAGCTAGCAGGCGAACTGGTGAATGGTGATATGACAGAGTAATAACATCCTATTACAAGTGCACGATACAGTTATTACAAACGTAAAGTGGTATGTACCAATTCCTGCACATTATATCGGTAGCAATGCGATTGTAGTAATGTCTAAATAACGGAATGAAACACTAAAGTGTGCAGAAAGGATGTTTATTGTATTTTTATTATCGGAGCTAAATTCTTGCTAACGTTCATCCAGGCTAACTTTGCTGGGAGCTAAGTGTAACGTCAACTCGCTTCCATATTGTGAGAGCACAGTCTGACCACTTCAAACTCACCTGTGTGTAATACATTACGTTTTAAGGTGTCGGTATAAAGCGTACAAGACCAGAAAATTAGCTTTGGTTTGCTGGATATCTATTCTTGCTTGACAACGACAGAACCCGTAATGAAAGCTGGTCAATTGTACCTATTTATAAAAACATTGACCTATATTAATGCAACGATTTCATGTGTTCGGTGCATAAGTGTGAAATGTCCCAGTGAGTTATTAAGTGGTGATATTTCTTTTAAAGCCATAAACTAATAAAACATACTTCACGTTGTCTGTTGTTTGAGATGGAGGACGGAAACAGGACTGATGCTGCCTCCACATCTAAAAGCCATGCAGGCTCTCTCCACCTGCAGAGTAAGGTTTTAAAAACTGCAAATAATATTGGATGTTCTACTTTTAAGTCATGCATTTATATATTGTGCATAATTCCTCTTGTTCAGCTCCAAAAAATGAAGAAACCTATGAAATTGTCATCCCCTATGAAGAAAACTCCTTTGAGCAGCAAGGATTTTTCAATCAGAGTGAACAGACTTTTGATGGTAAATGTCAGAATCCCTATTATAAAATTCCCTTTGATCTGTAAAATATTTTTAAGCTTTGTAAGCAAAGTTTCCTGTTAAAGTATTTCCTAAACAATCCTGTCTACCCTCAGAGTCACCCCCATCTGCTGGCCCATCCCAAGTAAACAACTTATACATGGTGATCACCAACCTGCGAACCCAGCTACAGATCTCTCTAGAGAAAAACTCCTGGATGCAGAAAAGAATTGAGGACTTGGAAGAGGAGAGGGACTTCCTCCGTTGCCAGCTGGACCGCTTTATATTTTCCACAAAGAGCCAGGAGCAGAGTCAGAGCCAGTACAGTAACGGTGAGAACAGGGATAGGTGTGAGATGTTTTTGTCTCTAAGGAAGAAAAGCTAAATCTCAGCTTTTGGTATTTGTCTCACTTTAGGTTATGAATCCAGACGATTCAACTGGAGAGTAAGAAGAGAGGAAGATCGCCGTGTTGGTAAAAAAAATATTTATTTAATTTCTTAGTAAAAAATTAAAACACTGATGTGAATGTATTATCTTTTTGCAAATTGCACATTTTCAATCTTTACTATTCCTTTTTTTTCCTAGAGCAACAGAAGCCTCAAGAGTCTCAGCATTTCCCCTCACGGCAGTTTATACAACGAAGGCCTGGTCCTCCAACCATGGTGCCTTCCAAAAACCCTGTCTCCAGTCAACTAACCAATGAGCTCGTCTCTTTAAATGCTTTGTTCAACTCTACCCAGTCCCAGGCCCTCTTGCAGGGCCATAGCCACAGTAATCCGAATGCCACAGCCAGTGGCAGCAGCGGCAACAGTAACAGTACTGCAAGGTCACCCATGAATGAAATGAGTGGACATAGTAACTTAGGTCCAGGTAATACAACTGCTTCCCATACATTTGATCGATCTATAGAGATTTTGCTTGTGGCTTTTATCTTTGGAATTTTGCTAACGAATGTTTTTTAATGTTCTCATCAGATTCAATTTCACTCTTGGGAGAATCTGATGAGTACTTGGAGCATGATGGGTACCTCGACGAGGAGGAAATGATATCAGGGGGAGATTTAATGCAAGGTACCATTAACAACAAAGGACACCTATTTAAGAGAAGGCGGGTCTTCCGAGCCCCAAGAGAGCGGCAGAGAGGTAAAAGAAACATACTGCATCAAAACTCATTACTTGACAAAAGACTGTCAACTGTTGTTGCTCACTCTCTCTTTTACATTGTTGTTCTTCAGTGAAAGATGCTGCTGGAGTGCTGTTTCGCTACAAGAAGATCCTGCTTACATACCAGCGTCTGAAAAACATGTCGAAAGCCTTCCAAATCCACGGTGTGGACCGCAACACGGTGGCTTCCACTACACCCATTGCTGAGATGCTACTTGTGGCCCCAGAGAAGGTGGCAGAGCTGGGCGAGTTTGACCCATCCAAGGAGAAGCTTCTGGACTATGCGCGGCGCTGCTACACTGCCCTGGATGAGGAGACACTTAGCAGGGTGCAGGCCCTGAAGAAGAATAACCTGCTCCTGCCTATCTCCTACAGGTTTAGACACTGATGAGAGAAAGACAGCAGGACGGGAAATCTTTCTAGAAAACATGGCAAGTTTGGAAAGAATAGGCATGGTTCTGCTGCAGCAGGCCAGCTCACCTCCGCGCTTGGAGATGCCCAGAGGCAGGAGGAATTATGTTTGCTATCTCAGCATACAATAACTCTGCTTTGAACTTTATAATACTAATATTAACAGTTTGCACATAATGCAGGCGCACAACAGCGCAGTCAGCCAGTTCCTGTCAGTACAAACACACACACAAAATTATGTCAGTGTTTTTCATTATCATAGAGAAGCAAATGTACACCGTATGATAACTGTCCTTTCCAATATACGGTTTACAATGGTTTATGTGTGAACAGAAAGGTGTCTTAACTATTGGGGTAATAAAGGGGATTTCTTTCCTTCAGTATTTAAATGTGTAACCAACTTAGCTTGTTAATGTTTTAGCCTCAACATTTGCCGAGACACTGACCTGATCTTTAAGATCTGGATCAGTTTTTGGCCGGTAGACGAATAATGTATTGTCTAGAGATCATTTGAGCTCCTGATAGTCTAAAAGATGTGTGAGCCTTGTAATTTGTATCACTTTATTTGTGTGCACAATCCCTAAAATAGTGTAGCTTTTATTCACAATGTCTATTTATGTTAAAACAATACTGCACTCAGTAGATTTTGTAGGAATAAATTATTATAATTTTTACTGTATTTTTAAGATGTCATATTTTCCTTTTGTTAATATTGCTCTTTTTGTCTGTGCTTTATTATTTTTGGCGTTGAAATTATATCTTCAACCATTTTCTATTGCCTTAATGGGATTTCATGATTTAAGACATGCAACACTTTTGGGTCACTTTTCTTTCCTGAACAGCAACTGAGTTTGAATTGGGGAGTTATTTAGTTTTTCTGTTCCTTTCCATTTATCCTGTTGTAAAGGAGGAGAACAAATCATATTAGAAAGAGAAAGAAGTAAAAATGTACTGACTGTAGTAAAGACTAGTCCACCATTATTTGGTGCATATTCGTTTTTTTACAGAAAAAAACTAGAAGCAACAATTTGTACTTGTATGTTCTGTTATAAAATATGAGTAGTTGAGAATATATTCCTAACATTTTATAAACCGAGTTTGCGTTAATAATAGTAATGTCAATAAATCTGATTAACAGCAATGGAAATGATTGTATTACATAATTTGTTTCAGACGCCCGATCCAAGGTTAGGGGTTTAAATGCAAAATAAACATTTATTCCACTTTAAATAACATATCTTGAGCGGACTATGATGAAACCTAACGTAGATGTGAAAAGAATAAAAAGGGAAAATGTTCACTTATCTTCAGTGTTCTTATAATACATCCATGGTTAAAGGATGGGGTCTTTTTCACTAACCGGAAACCTGTAATTCATCAACTTCCGGTGTCACGGAGTGCCTGGGAGACGGAGCAAAAAAGCGGGCATACCGATAGCGTTTTTGTTTTCAACATTTAAATGGGCAACATTTGACTCATATAGTCAAACAACCGCGGCTTGTGGACCAGTTCCCCCTCTGGACTTTGCATCTGGCTTGAAAAATAATCATTCATTCGTGTTTCGTCCTAGCTAACGAGCTCCACACGAGCAGGCCTATTCTTCTGGACTTTGCTACAAGCTAGTTAGCTAACGTTAGCAGGCTAACCCATGCGAGCACGTTTTCTTTCTCAATGATTCTGTCTGTTACGTTGTAAATAAATACCACACAGCTTATGCGTGTGCTTGGTAACTTGTTTTGGTAGTTGTATTGTTAAGTAGGCTGCTCGTTAAAGCACATTTACGTTAGCTACCTCAGCGAGGCGCTTGCTTTTATAGTGTTGTTCACTTTGTTGCTAGCTTAAGCTAGCCACCGCTAACTGAACAACGCAGTCGCCGAAAGCGCATCAGCCTTCAACTCACAGAGATGTCGGACTTCGACGAATTTGAAAGGCAGCTGTCTGAAAACAAACAAGGTAAATAAACCAATTGCACATCAGACATCGGAAATGGTAGTGGTCCGTTTGATTGTAATCGCCACTATCGTTTAAGCTAACCATGGACCTGTCTATGTACTGGAACGCTAAGCTAAATGATTAGCCCACACTCACGAACCATTTGAGATGTGGTGTAACTGTTACATTTACTGTTGCTCATCAGATACTATTCTCGATCATGTTTGACGATGTAGAAACACGTTAGGCCGATATGTAATCCGAATAACGGTAGCTGGATTGTCTGTTCTTAGGTTAACTGGCTTTGTTTCTTTAAGCCTGGGGCAGTCTATATCCTGGTACTCTACTGCCTGTACCAGCTGACTGGATGTCCGGGTGGCTAGCATTCATCCTTTGCAGCTGTTGCGTCCAGCGAAGATTTCTAGTGCAATTTGCCGTACTATTGCCCTCCTCTTTCTAACACACCGCCTGTAACTCCACTACCCTCATTTTACATTTGATATCGTTAACCCAGATATGGAAACACACTCTGTACACTGCTCCTAGGTATCGGACAACGCTACCCTACGAGTTCGCCATATTACACATTGTGTCACTTTGAACCAAAAGGTCATAAAACATTTGTTTCCGATTTTAAACAGACTGGATACACTGTATTCAATTGTAACTTTTTAACATACCACTACCATGAAAGCTGTTTTCCTGTACTTGATACCATAATCCAACTTTATTATTACCACGTGAACTAGGATGTTGTTGGACAGATTCATACTCAGCAGTGTTGCTCATTGCCTGTCTAATTTTCATCTAAGGTGATGTATTCTCAGACTCTTTGACCGGTAAGCTATGAAAATAAGTATCTAAGTATTGCTAAGATTTCATTGGTCCATTGACTAGCTGTGTATTGTATTTTATTCATACTCTGCAAGTAAACTTTCAATTTATTCCTGCAGCTGAAAGGGACAAAGAGAACCGCCACCACCGCCGGTCTTCCTCTCGTAGCCGAAGCAGAGAGAGGAAAAGGAGGAGCAGAGACAGGGATAGACGCAGCAGGGACCGCCGTGGGGAAAGTAAGGAGGAGCGCAGACACAGACGCAGGTGAGTACCTTTTTTCACAACTACACCCAGAACAAAAAAAGCTAAAGGCTCCACGTTTTTGTAACTAGAGATTTTTAAACATGACTACCACAAATATCCTACCGATACTAATTTGTTTTTAAATGCCCTACAAACAGGAGGTCATAAAGATCTACAGATTTCAAAATAAATTGTTTAGAGTAGATTTAACATTTAGTTTCATCATAAAATATTTGTTGCTCGAAATACTTGACTAATTTCTTTACAGGGATTGTATAAAGGTGAATGAGGAGTCGCACATTTGGTGTGCTGGTAACACTTCTTGCTGCTTCACAGAATGTTTTGTTTGTAAGCACCCTGGAATTTTCTGAAAAAACGTCCACAATGTGTTGAGATTAAACACCTTCGCTTGCGTTTTTGGGGTTGACCTGGTCTCATTAACATTGACAGATACCATTCTGGGCAACAGTACACACTTGTTAAGCTTGACAGTTATCTACAGCAAATTGGGGCTGTAAAATGTAGAAGTAGGTCAGTGATTCATTGAGACTGAGTTTAAATAAGCTAGTTGGTCTCTCCTGAAAATCAACTGTAAATATTCTTATTTCACTCGCGGATTGACTTTCATGTACTCTATTTTTGGCCTTGTTATTTTTGCGTTCTCTGTCACAGCTGCCTATGACATTGGAGCAATTTGCCTCAAGCTTAATGGAACATCTCTTGCATGCACAATAAGGGGCTGCTGCAACCTCTTTTATATATGTAATCATTTAATATAGACCATATCAAGACTAAGTCATAAATTATTTCATGAAGAATTTCAGATCCTTCCTAGAATACAAAAATGCACAGGCTATTAACAGAATTTATTTATGAATTCTGGTCTGGCAGTACATGTCATGGAAACATGCAGCATGCAGTTAGTGTGAGAGTGCCCTGTGAGGAGCCGGAGCTGTATTGTTTGATAGAATCTGTTTAGACCCTTCAATGTGGGAACATTTTTCTACAGGTGCAAGTCCCTCCCAGAACACTTCCCAAAAGGTGATTACCAGCTACCAATGTGACAATGCTGTATATTCTCAGCAAAATGCACCTTTGGACACCCAACACCTGCAACTTTTGGAAATGATAGGACATTTGAAACCATAGATTACCTTAGTAACTCTTTGAATGCATTCTCTCTAATGTAGACTTTTGTGAACGCTCTACTTGTTGGCTGTGAGTGTGACCTCTGGCCCCACTGTTGCTCCTCGTCACTTAGTGCTAATTTAAAACAAGTTGCTGGTGTTCACTCGGTTGGGAGAGGATGTAAAGTCTGAGCCCTCAACTTTGCAGCTGTTGTGTATTTCTGAGGATATCGTTTCTGCTTTCATTGCATTATTAGTTGTTCACGAATGGTGTTACATATCTTGTGTGAGACTCACTGAATGCACCGGCTTGACATCTGAACGTCAGAGGATGTTTGCGCTTTTAATGCAGATCGCCAAAGACTCGTAACAGCGTTTGTATTTGGAGAGGGTCATAGAAATGCAGGTTCTAATTTTCAATGTCATTTCAGCTCACCAGCCAGCTTCCCCGTGGACAATGCTGGAAGGTAATACAGCAAACTAACACAAAGCCGGTTTGTGCAATATTGCAACGACTGCAATTTAATGACCTGCCTCTGATTCTCTGTATTGAGTAACTAGCTGCCTGGATGAGGATTTGTGTCACTTGTTTTCCCTTTACCACAAGGTGCTCTAATATTAAATGGATACAACCTCCAAAAGAGTTACTAGATCTTATATATTTTTAGAAGACATGACCCATCGTCTGGTCTGCTAGTTTACTGCTGAGCTAATGAGGGACGTCTGTTACATGTTGATTGTTTTCCAACAGCCGTTCTCCACACCGCGAGGTGCCGGCGAAGAAGAAGAACAAGGTTAAAAAGTACTGGGATGTCCCTCCACCGGGTTTTGAACACATCACTCCCATGCAGTACAAAGCCATGCAAGGTAAGCCTCCTAGTTTTCTTTTTGTGTTCGATGCATTTTCAATAGGCATGCTAGTTTCAGGTTTGATTGAATGTTTATTTTGTTGTTGCACTACATTGGTTATTTCATCCATACCTTACTTTAGCAAACTGCTAATAAATTAGCACGTCAAGATACTGTTTGATGGGAGTTACAAATAATAATACTTCCTTTTGGCTTTGCCCTCTAGCTGCAGGGCAGATCCCAGCCACAGCCCTCCTGCCCACCATGACTCCAGATGGCCTGGCTGTGACCCCCACCCCGGTGCCTGTAGTGGGCAGCCAGATGACCCGGCAGGCCCGCCGGCTCTACGTGGGTAACATCCCATTTGGAATCACAGAGGTAAGGAACAGGACAACATTTGGCTTTTAAGTCACCCAATAAAAGCCTGTTATGTGTTAATATATGTGTTAGTAATAATTTCACCACACAATTGAAAAAAGTGTCCCCTTCATACCCTGTCTCTGTTTTGTGTAGGAGTCCATGATGGACTTCTTCAATGCCCAGATGCGCTTGGGTGGTCTTACTCAGGCCCCTGGAAACCCTGTTCTTGCAGTACAGATCAACCAGGATAAGAACTTTGCCTTCCTTGAGGTGAAATGGTCATACCCCTAACATGTCATTTGTTCTTCCAGAGTGTTTCTTGCTATTTTGACTTTAATCACTTAATTTTGTCTCTGTTAGTTCCGTTCAGTGGACGAAACTACACAGGCAATGGCCTTTGATGGCATCATCTTTCAAGGCCAGAGTCTCAAGATCCGTCGTCCACATGATTACCAACCTCTACCCGGCATGAGCGAGAACCCCAGTGTCTATGTGCCTGGTACTCAGCCAATTAATGGTTTTTAACCCTAAGTACTTGTGGCATATTTCATGAGTAATCGGTAACCAATACCTCACGGGAGCGTGCTCTCTGTGCTTCCCTTTTGATATTTCTTACTGTTGCCATCGTGTGTTCTTCAGGTGTCGTTTCCACAGTTGTTCCTGACTCAGCCCACAAGCTATTCATTGGAGGTCTGCCCAACTACTTGAACGATGACCAGGTTAGTATGTCAGCATGAAATGGCTGCAGACACAATTCCCAAACCATATTAAATACCCTTACCATAGCTTTTAGTAGAACATTCCTACACATTATACTTTGAGTAAACTCTTCCTTTTGTGTCTCAGGTGAAGGAGCTCTTGACGTCCTTTGGTCCCCTGAAGGCTTTCAACCTGGTGAAGGACAGTGCTACAGGCTTATCTAAAGGATATGCGTTTTGTGAATATGTTGATGTCAACCTTAATGACCAGGTAACCCATGCTACTGGCAACTTCACACTTAGACATGGTCCAGAGTCTACTTTAATTATTATTGTATTATTTAGTATTGTAGTTATTTGAGACTCTTAAAGATTGGATTTTTGGAATTTTAATTTAAAACCGTTCTTCTTTTTTTACAGGCTATTGCTGGACTGAATGGCATGCAGCTGGGAGACAAGAAGCTCCTGGTGCAGAGAGCCAGCGTGGGATCCAAGAACGCCACTCTCGTGAGTATTCAAAGGCTGGACAGAGGACAGCAGGGTGGTGGGAGGCTGGCTGCTCTTTTAGAGTCGCTCAAATGGATAATGATTACATTTTCTGTACAAATATATCTGCCACATCCAGGCCCACTGCAAACGGGTCATTCCATCGAAATTCATCACTTTCTGAAGACACATTTTCTCTAAATGTTAAACTGTTTAAGAAAGCAACAGATCTTATCCATTCCAAAACTGCCAGTATGTAGCTGCTAAAAATTGTTGTGCAAGCAGTAAGTTGCAAATAACAACCTGATAATCGAAACGGCATTTAGCTGGATGAAAAGCAGTTGTGAAAATATACGTTTTATGTGGTTTGTTCACTGGAACTACCTAACATAATGTCTTGGCTTAAGTGGTACCTAGGGGTTAACATTACCAAAACTGTCTAGAGATAAGTGGGAAACAGAGTTGTCCATAATGTATGTGAACCAGCACTGCAACGTTTTTCTTAAAACTGGCAGCAACCTTCTCTATAAAGGACATATCTTCATTTTCACCTCTGTTTTGGTCGATGAAGTCCTACATTGAATGACATTGAAGATGTCTCGTGGCCAGTCATAATACTCTGAGCACGTTGTTATCTAAAATATGCCATTGACCCGGTCCTAACCTTCCGGTCTGTCCTTGCAGACAAGTATAAATCAGACCCCAGTGACGCTGCAGGTGCCGGGTATGAACAGCTCGGTGACTCAGATGGGTGGCCTGCCCACCGAGGTGCTGTGTCTGATGAACATGGTGGCCGCCGAGGAGCTGCTGGATGATGACGAGTATGAGGAGATCGTTGAGGACGTCAAGGACGAGTGCAGCAAGTACGGCCAGGTCAAGAGCATCGAGATCCCCCGACCTGTGGACGGCCTGGAGGTGCCCGGCACCGGCAAGGTAGGGACCGTTCCATTGCTTTCCATCATCTTTGACGTGTGCTGTTGTCACACGAGAATTATGTCTTGATATACCCTCATTGTATTGGTTTCTTTGTCCCTCTCTTGTAGATCTTTGTGGAGTTCATGTCCGTTTTTGACTCCCAGAAGGCCATGCAGGGGCTGACGGGAAGGAAGTTTGCCAACAGGGTGGTGGTGACCAAATACTGCGACCCAGATGCTTATCACCGCCGAGACTTCTGGTAGGAGGAGCCATGAAGAGAAGAGGACGGCGGAGTGGGAGGAGGGGAGGGAACATGAATCGCCCATCTAGAAGTCAGCCCCCTGATTGAGAGCAACATTTCAGGTGGATCTGAGAGTACTTATCCTTTGACAAATGGCTTTGGTAATATCCAATTCATCGTTTGAGATCTTCAAAATTGGGAGGGTCTCTATTCAGTCCATACCAGAGGGGGCTAGGTTTAGGTGGGTGGGGGAGTCAAAAGATTTTTGCAAAATGTGTGTAATAATGGGTCCAGGGAGGGGTCAACGATTTTTATACTTTGTGAGGATGTTATTTTGGGGCGGGAGGGGGGAGCCACACTCTAAGGTTTGTATTTAAATGGAGGTAGCCTGTTTTAAGTACATTAGGAAGGAGTTGCAGCGGGGAACCAACTGGACTATTCCGGTGGAGAGAGGGATGGAGAAAACAGGAGTGTTACTTTGTGAGTGGGGGAGATGAGGGCATTTCTGTTTGAAATCTAATCTAGATATACAGTAGCTGAAACATCCACTTCTGTTTCCCCACCATCATTAGTGAGGCGAGAGGAAACATTTTATTTCTATATTTGGACTATATTTCTTCATGTTCCTTTATTTTCATCAGACTACTGCCCCCTCAAAATGATTGGTTGAGAATATGTTGTCTAATTGGACTCTATCTGAATGTCAACTGTAATTGTTTCAATACTGTGTGTAGCTTCACTGATATGAGCTGTAATATCACATTGTGTTCAGGCCGCAGAATAACACGAGCTGCAGGAAAGTACTTTTTTTTCAATTATGCCAGTTTTATTTTTTCCTGTAACTTTTTCACGTCCGTCTTTAGTACACAGCTTTTAACAGATGAGGTTGCATTGTCTCAGCGGTTCAGTCCTGATTTAATTAAAAGTGGAAAATTGAAGGAGGATGAGGATTGGCAACAGATTGGTGTTTAATAGGGGATTGATCTCTTCCTTACCAAAAAGCCTTAATGTTATTACATGTAAATTCGCTAAAGAAAACCAATTAGGCTTACCCCTCTTTCAATGATGTCTGTATGTTTATAAATGTCACTATCTTGTACTACAGCCTTGCATCACTCGTTTTCATTTTTCCTTGTTTGGCAGCAGCAGATTTAATTTGTAAGATGTGTCGGACCCGGTTGTTTCTTTGTGCAACGTCTCACCTCTTTGACAAGACCAAATAAACACGTGTCTAATACCCACGACTCATGGAGTGAAAGCAAAACAACCAACTTTTCTTTGTTCCGTCAACTTCCCTCCTGATGCATTGGTAGGCAGTGATGTGTCCGAAACACATATGGAAACTGAAATTAAAAAGATCTTGTTTTGGATGTTTATGCTCAGTAAAGACTAATTACAAAAGGAAAGTCTGTAGACAAATAATTACTATTATACATTTTAATAAACAATCATTTAGCATTTAGCTTTCATGGCTTTAGTATGTTACTGTCGTAGAGGGGTTTCTTTCTCTAAATGTAAGAGGTAGATTGGATGTTGAAAACTTGTATTTGGTCAAAGACTGCTTTTCTCTCATCTCCCTCATCTTCTGCCCTAATTCTCCGAGGACCACATGTTCACACTGTAATGGCTGAGACTGCTTTCATTTAGGTGGTTAAGACGTTATTGAGAAGAAAGTGTGTCAGTGATAACACTTATGTTACTCCTTACTTTCAGATATCTGCTTTCTCAGTGTCGCTGTCATTTAATTTCTCCTTTTTTTTCTCTGAAAAAAAAAATGTGATTTCTTAAATGATTTCAAAACATCTAGTTTATAAAAATCAAAAACAGTCTTTCATTTGTCCAATTTGTTTTCAAATGTTGATTAAAAACTGAATTTACATGATGGCTTTCTTCTTTATGCTTCCTCTCTTTTGTGCACCCACATCCACCCACCTGGCTACAGCACACGTGTATTCACCCAGCGAGGGATGCCGCTCACAGTTCATTATGGAGATGGATTAGACTGGAGCCATGTCCAGGCACTTTCACTCAACTGATGGCATAATTTATCAAGGACTACAGGCGATCCAGACAGAAGCAAACGATTCCTGGGGAAGTTCATGTTCATGATTAAGATACACTATTGCCAGTCATAAGTCACACTTTGTATCTACCTAAACTGGTTGTGGGAAAGCGTCAAATGCTAGCAGTAACAAACACAATTCCCTTGCAATCTATTTTGTACCAATTATAGCCTGCTCTCTTTAGTGATACCAGCCGAGGATGGAAGACTGGTTCATGGAGATGAAGGTCGACAAGGCAGAAGTAGCAGATCACACTCCTGTGGCCAATCTTTGAGTTAAGGACCCCTTACATCATTAACATAAAGGCACACAAAATCATAAAGAAGGGTTAAAACAATTTCGAAATCATTTTACTATATTATTTTCTCCTAATTATCCACGAAGTTTCATTTAGGGACCATTCAGTACGTTAGTGCTGACTGCCCTTAATAGTGAATAATATGTTAACACACGTATAATTAATGTGTCTTATGTTGCATACCTTTGTTGATCAATGATGTGTGGATTGATTTTACAATGATATTTTAAAGAATATCATTGCTGTTTTTATTCAAATAAAATATTCATTTAAAGTACAGAAAACACTTATAATAACAGAGAATAAAAGAGTAATTCCGTCACATGACATGGGAGCTATTGAAAATATATTTGACTTCACAAATATTGCATAATATCCATATAAAATAGAAAGTTGACTAACATCTTATAAAAAAGGGTTGTGTCTCACTTGTCCAGTGTGGTAATACAATGCTACAGTGGACACACTGGGTCACATGGCATGGGAGCCTTTGAAAATAAATTAGAGTTTTTAATAAAGAAACAAATACATTTAATAAAAATATTATTATTAAAAAGAAAACAGACTTGAATCCAAGGAAAATAGGTCTTTCCCTTTTGTCCAGTATTGTAATACAATGTTGTAATGTTTGGTAGTCATTTGGTAACATAACATAAGCTATACAAAATAAATCGAAAAAATAACAGCATCATTTACATAAAGATATTCATACACACAATACTTCTCTATTATTATTATTATTATTATTATTATGTCATTTATTTGATTCAAGCCTACACAAATAAATAAAACTCATGTTTACCCATGCAATTATATGTACTTATGAATTGGAGCTGCTTGCACTATCGAATCCCACCTATAAATCAGGTAAAGTATTTTTTTTCTGGGTGTACTTCTTTATATTCAAGTCAATCCACACGAGTACACAGTTTTGGACATCAGCAACAACTATAAGCCATGTCCACCTGGGACTGAATCGAAAAAAAACAGTAACAGGGAACCAACAAATCTCTGACATGAAATAATGTCCTGTGTCAGCTCTATACTGCCCATGTCCGCGTGCATCGCTGCACCCCACTGCACAGAAGCCAGCAGCAGTGCACTGATGCAACGCGCTCTCTCCCCCTGTTGTTCCCGCAGGGCTCAGATAAAACAGCAGCTCTCCTAGGCTGCTGAAGCCATATCCACCAGAGGAGACATGTAAAACTGACCCTGCCTCTCCAACAGATCAGTACGTTCAGGCTGCCAAACACAAGACCGATTAAATGTTTTTAGCGGCCCTCCCCAGGCCTGATGCTGCAGTGAAGATTGCACATACATTATCTCCCTCTAGTGGGGAATGTAAAACTGTAGCGGTGGTCATTGTCATTCTAGGCAGTGCCTCCCCATTGATCCTCATTCAGAAAGATAGAACACTGCAGCAGTGGGAGAGTGCATTGCTGGAGCAGGATGATGCAGTACTCTGTGTACTTATGGCAGTGTGCATTCAGCGTACAGATTTAAGGAAATTGAGAATCATATGGAAAGGATTGTCAGGTTGAATGCAAAAAGGCCTTTTATTACACAACATATTTTGACATGTGACAGTAAAGCGCAGGTATGCAAAATAAAATGAATGATGGCTAAATTCAATTTTGCTGCAATTGTTTCAAGGGGCTTGTTTGGGCTCTTGCTGTCACTGGGACAATTTGAACAAAATAGAGAAACAGTTATATTTATAAGTAACACCACATCCCATAAAAAACAACTGTGTGTGGCTCGCTGCTATGCCCTTTGTTTTTTCTTGAAGAGGTACATCTTTACATACAGGTCAGATATATATTTATCATTGAAGAAAAAAAGAATTCTTTAACAGCTGGGTCTTTGGTTTTTAGACAATCATAATTATAATTGGAGTAAATTGCATAATTGTTGGGGACTATTTTAAACAGCAGAGTTGGTGCATTTGAGTCTTGCATGTGGGATTGACTCAAAATAATCTACATGCCCATGTAGTTCAGTGTGGTTTATAAATGTATTTTCTAATATGCTTGGACATATTGTGCTTTAATCTGGCATGTAGTCAACATTAATGTTACAACGTTGGACTAATAAATAGTTGCAGCTGTAATGTGCACATGTGTGGTCAGTGTGCGCATGGCTGCATACATAAGCACACATGTGTGCCCTTCAGTGTGTTGAAGCATAAACTAGCACTGCTGACAGGGCCACTTGAGTGATGTGGAGACAAGATTGTTAGCATCAGCATACTGTAGATTATTGATGGCCTCAGACCGCCAGTGGACACTTTCTATCAATCTCATATGATGAGGCAGCAGAGATATGCTGCATAATTAGATGCAAAGTAATTTTAAAGAATAGACATACATATGTTCGTTAAACTAATAGCTGTACCCCAGATTAATCCATTTATCATGGCTGTCATGACCAACATGCTCCTTTCTCTCTGCAAAAGTCCATCTTTACATCCAAATTGCACTGTGGCTGCAACAACAATCTGTCCTAAAAGAAACAGGACGTCTTTTGTTTTGGACATTGTAGGTGTTTATTTTCCTGTCACAGCCTACAGCGTGTTTCGTCCCTTTTCTCAGATTTTCTCCTGTTTTGTCTCTCTGTTCCCGACTCACTCTCACTTTGCATCACCGCCCTCGCCACCCCTTTTCCTCTCGCCCCTTCCCCCCTTCCAGCCCTCCCTGAGCGTAGCTGGCCGCTGGGGTTGGCCTCCCTCTCGGTGTGCCACGTATGTAACCTAAACTGTGGAAGAGCCAAGCAGGGCCGGGCCACGAGTAAAGCTTTCCACAAGACCAGGGTGAGTCTCTGAAATCTCTCTGGATCTTGTTCAGTGAGGAATGAAATGGGCCTGCGCATTTTCTATTTCTTCTCTAATATTTAATTTCAGCAAGATTATCCACATGTGCACCTAGTGTTTCTTTACCTTTATATCACTCTCAATGTTATGCTCCCATCTTATGTCCTTTCCTGCACTTTTTTTCCCTTTTCCATTTCTGTCCCTCCCTCTCTGCTGCCCTCCCCGTTTCACTTTCACTCTCTGTGTCCGATTTGCTCATACCTCACACTTCTGTTGCTGTAAAACATTATCCTGGCCCCTCTCGTATAAACACAGGCTCCTCCTTCAGCCTAACTTAATGTCATTAACAGGTGGCAGTCTAAAATAGACACTCACACAAACAGCGAGGCTGGCACAGATACATGTTTTTAATCATGGCTGTCGTCATGTGACCGGACCACACTGCAGCACCTCAGCTCATTCATTGAACATTCAAACATGTGTGCAGTGTGTGCAGGGTGCTGTTGAGATGGAAGGTACAGTCAGAGGGGAGAACAGCCGTGCAAACACACACATTTAGTGATCAACAGTGTTAACCAACCAGGCTACAGCCCCCTCCCCTGTTACACTTACTTTCCATAACCCTCATGTACCTCCCTCTCACTCTCTCACTTACTCTCCCATCACCACTCTCCCCCTCTATTAAGTTTCAAGCGTCTCTTCCTCCTGAACTGAACAACACACACCAAACAGGTCAGACTTATTCTTCTTTTTGCTCTAGTTGTTGCTTTCTTATGTACACATGTCACACAGGGGGCTGTGGCTGTCTTTGGTGAAACTCTTGAAAGAGTACCTAACTTTCCTCACTGAAAATGTACCCATTTGTCCCCAAGCCAGTGCACCGTATTTCTTTTTGTTGCGTCATCAAATTTGACAAAACACACACATAGGCCTATACACTGCTTAGGATGTTTTAGAACTACATGAACATGTGTGTGTTATCCCTCCAGTAGGTTCGCCTGCCATGCTTTGACCCCTTCGATCATCCAGTGGTTAATATGGATGTAATGTGATCGAGCTTTGTAACTCTATAACTACTAACTTGGCTGTCAGCAGCTGCCGTCTTATACTTTATTACACTTAATGCTGGGGGAGTAATCACATGCACGGCTGTTATTCCAAAGCTTTGGCTCATTAAAAACATTTGGATTTTTAAGATTAGCACGTTAAATTAGGATCAGGTAACATATTTATATTATTGTGAGTTGTGATTAATATCTCTATCAATTAGATGTCAAAAATCCATTGTGTGATTGTTATGGAGCTTTTATTAGTATCACATGATCGATAGCAGATGGACTTTACTCTTTTAAATATAGTGGGCATTTTCAAGTTCAACTGACATTATTAGTTGGTTATTATTAGCATTATTTATTATTATATATATAATATATTATTTATGTTTTCTTATTTAGACATGTGAATAATTTGTTTTGGTTGAATATAAAGTTAAACACAATGTATTGCTTTGAAAAATAGTCTATGTATGACAATGTATAATCCAAATGTATTTGATACATAATTGTATGGCTGCTTCAACTTATTTTAAATTATTATGCACACATTTCTCTCAATAAGTATATCAGTCATTCATTTATAAAATGTCAAACAATGTCTAAAAACGACTTCTAACAAGTTCCTAAAACAAAAGGTGTCTGGTTGTGTCAGTACAGCAGTCGGAAAACCGAAAGATCTTCTCTTCACAATACAGAGAAAGAAACTAAAATCCAGCTATAACCTAGGATGGTCGGAGTTTGAATTAATAAATGACTTTTATTGTAATTTAATTTACTGCAAAACTAAATGTATGCTGCATACTGCTCCTTATTTCTGAAAAGTATGGTACACAATAGATTTTTGTCCACGCACTCAGAGGGTTCATGTGGTGCGCTGCCTATATAAAAACTCTGATGCTGTCAGCGCAAAACCCCTGAATTAAGTGATCCACCAACTGTGTGTGGCCTCCTGGTGCTGCTCCCTAACTGGCCAGGCCTGTTGCCTCCACTACGTGACCTGTTGCACTGCACAGCAGAGTTAATTACTGCAGGCCCCTTTCTGTCAGAAGGTTCAGCCATGAATTATCACCTCATGCTCCCTGCGCAGAGCAGCCACATCGCTGGGCCCCGTCACTCACGTTTTAAACCGCTCCAAATGGCCCCCTCCCTCACAGTTTGGGATAACAGAAACAACTCTGCAAACCTGGACCTACTTACAGTGCCACACGACAACAAAAAACACACACACACATGCTTGAAAAGACCGTCATGGCGGCAGATTCCAAGTGTTTTCTGGTACACGTAATGCAGGACGGGAGATATTTGTGGCAACCCATTATCCCCTCAGATCAAAAGGGATCTGTGTCTAAACCAGAGATTGTGTACCTGCTCGGAGAAGAGCTCTGTTGTCAACTGCTCTGGGAAAATAGAAGATGGGGGGTCCAGTCTGGCGCTGCGGTGTTATCTCTCACCTTGAACCGGCACCACCCGACTCATCCAGCCCAATTGTTTCTTCATCAGAAACAAAATCTGCCTTTCAGGGAAACGCCATATGGCTTATGTATTGTTGGCTTGAAGCATGTCATATGGCTTTTAGGGAGGGAAGACTGTAGACGCTGATAAAGCTCTTGGAAATTAAATATTACGCTGCTGATGAAAGGATTTTGCTCTTGTGAAGCATATGCTGGCTGCCCTTTCATCTTTCTGTTTCATCTCTCTATTTCAGGGGACTGGACGGAAAACAGTCGCCGGCTCTCCTGGTCCTTACATCCGTCTCCTCCCATTTTATAATTTCCTTACTTCATCTGCCCCTCACTTCCTTGTAGCTCTGTTCATATTTCTTTCTGTCTAATTCATTTTATCTTTTTATCCTTTGTTCCCTCTGACCACTTTTGCTTAATTTACCCATCAGTCACAGGATAGTTGATAGCTGTGTCTCCTCATTTTTTATATATTGTTTTAACACTTCCATCCTACTCCTTATCCTTTTCCTGTTTTCTCCCTACTAAACCATCTTCCCATCTTTTCATCTATTATATTGCCCCCCTTATATTAAGCCCTCCCCCCTCCCCCCTTGTCTTCGTCGGGCCTAGCCAGTTGAGATCATCATGTGGTCCAACTTCATCGTACAGCCCGATGGTGATGATCGTATCGGGGTGGCCGGGGCTTTACAAGGTGGGGGTTTAGCTGGAATAAAAGGTGGAAGGGGACAGGGAAGGAGGGTCCAGAAGATGAGTGACAGCCAGGAAGGAAAGATCAAACTGGCCTTCTTTGTGGCTATCATTGGCGTGACCCTCACCGTGTTGGGCATGGGGACAGAGTTTTGGGTGGAGCTGGCACAACCAAAGAATTTCAGCGGCAACCAGACCTGCCAGATGGCATATTATGGCCTGTGGAAGGGCTGCATCCGCACCCTGTTTGTGGCGGACATAGACCCAGACAGGGAGCTCTGCGGCCCCGCTGAACTAAATGGAGGTGAGACCCCTGGCTGGAGTGCAGTTGTGTGTCTGTGAGAGTTTGTGTTTATCTGTTTGTGCTGTCTAGGAGGTTAGCAGGTGAGGTTTCTGGAGGGCATGTGTCTACTTTGTTTCTCTGACTGTCTGCTCATGTCTGCCTATCTGCAAACTGAATTGCCCGGCCATGCAGTTCTACCTCAAGGCTGACTCCATGCTACAGTGTAAGAGTGAATTAATGGAAAAAAGGGTCAAAGGATGTTTCTTAGAGGTTGCAGGCTGTTGACATCATTGAAGGGAAAAACATGTACATTTAATCGACACGATTCTTCTTTGCCATCACCACTGATGTGAAAACAGAGGGAGCAGGCATAACTAATATGGTGCATGCCCTCTGGGAATATGCTTACATCTCTAGGTCTTTTATCTGAGCCCATAAGGCATTGAGGACAGCTAGGGCAACACTTCATATTCATCCCATCCCTAATACAATCTACAGATTTATGAGGAAGATACTTATGATTTTTAGCAAACCTTTAATATCTCCCTTTATTTAGACGAACATATACTGTAACCTTGCAAATAGATAGTGGGAGGATAGTTGTGTATGTAAAGCTGCCTGCATACATATGCATCTAGGTCATCCTACAGATAATGTGCAAATTGAATCATTAAAGAAAAGCGAGGCTTGGAAACAGAGCACGAGGAGGACCACAGTATAGCGGTTTTCAATTCTTATCCTATTGTAACAACACAAAGCAGCATCTAGGTACAGGTAGGATCATACAATACCATCTTGGGGATTCGCAACATTGTCAGGGTAATGAAGCATCGATTTCAAGTTTCTCCCTTGACTGGGTACCTAATCATCTCCTGCTGTACACACAGTACAGACAGGGGATACGGGGCAGACCACAGGTTTGTTGTGCTGACGAACATCCATGGTTAGAGTTGTGAAAGCTCCTTTCTAAAAGCACTTTATTCAACTTGACCGTGGTTAGATTCTCCAGAGTGCATTGAATATCTCCACAATGACCTACTTCTGTCTGAAAAGCAAGTCTGGAGATGGAGAGAGGCAGGTATTGGTAAAGGGAGATGGAGATAGGGGTTGCTCCAGGAATCACTGCCTATCTCCGGGTATCTGCTGAGACACAGCAGAGCTCTAAAGAAACAAAAACAAATCTCCTCATCCAGCAGATATACACGTGGATCACATACACATAAATACTATTCACATACATATATCACCTTGAATTAGGATGCATGTCATAGTTTTTATACGCTGTCGTCAAGGGCTAATTCATCTTACCTGTCAAAATGTCCTGCCTCTCTGGCTGCTTTAAGCTAGCAGATATATATCTATGCCTCTCAGACGGTCTGTTGGTGTGTGAGAGCAGCCAGTATGCTTCTGACAATGTTTCTCACACGTCTTCACACTGTTGGCCCACGCCGCCTGTCGCAGATGGCCGTGGGCTTGTCATGTTTTGAGGGAAACAACTGTTTTTGCCATCTCTGCTTCTCTGTGTCACATCGCTGTTTACATGCCTTTGGCTTCGGTCCCGAGCAAAGTGCGGCCCCGCTGATGCCCGGCCCTGTCATCTCAGACCAGCTATCCGTCTTTGCTGCCTGCTGGAGAGGGACATGACAGCTCAATAATTACAGTCTCAGCGGGGGTAGCGAGAGCAAAAGCAGTTGACTGTGATAGCATGATGTGTTACAGAAAATCAGTAAGCTGATAAATGGCGTGTCTGCTGCAGTCAAAATGTTGCAAATGTGCTCAGGCACAAACATATTTGTATGTGAAAGAAATGTGTGACGAGCATGTGGTCATCTTGAACAACATAATGAATATTCAGTGGGTGAAAGTCATCACTATGCACTTGTGAAGCCAAGTGGAATCTGACTACTTCACAGTTTTTGTCTAAATATAGAGAGGGGGAACGAGGAAGAGGGACAGACAGGGACTGAGGGAGAGTGTCTAATGCAGTATTAACCAACCCCTCTGTGTTTCCTCCCCCCTTGACATCTCCTGCTCCCCTCACCTCCTTCTCCATCTGTGGCTCCCCTCTTTTTTCCTCTTCACTCACCACCCCTTCCATCTGCCCCCAACTCACTCCTCCTCCCCTCACTACTCATGCTTTGAGCCTTTATCCATATTTCCTGCATCCCCCTTCATAATTTGCTCACCCAACATATCCCCTTCCCCTCAATCCTTCTTCTTCTTCTGCTGCAGCCACGCCTCTCAATTTCTATCCTCCATCTGCCCCTTCTTCTTGTCTCCCTCTCTATTTCCCCTGTGCCATCCACCCTCAGTGTTTTGCTGTCTCTCACCCTCTCTGGCGGCACCATATGTGCAGTGCTGGGCCGTGTGTGTGTGTGTGTGTGTGTGTGTGTGTGTGTGTGTGTGTGTGTGTGTGTGTGTGTGTGTGTGTGTGTGTGTGTGTGTGTGTGTGTGTGTGTGTGTGTGTGTGTGTGTGTGTGTGTGTGTGTGTGTGTGTGTTTGTGTGTGTGTGTGTGTGTGTGTGTTTGTGTACGTTTGTGCTCGTTTGTGTGTATCTGTAAATGTATGTGTATATCTGATCTCATGTGTATGATCTTTCTTTTTACCTACAGTAACCAACTGCACCTACTTTAAGTTCTTCACCTCCGGGGACAATGCAGTCATATTCAAGAAGACAACTAACAAACGTGAGACATTTAAATTCCTCCCTGCAATTCCTGTCACACATGCAGATGAATTGCACGCTTACAGTAACAATGCAGCTTCCATCAATAAAGACGTTCACTGGGGTGCTCAGAGGACCGTGCTGGTGTTTTCTACGTGTTTCAGCCCATTAACTTCCGCTGCCACCCATTTTCCTAAGCAACCATAAGCTATCAGACTGATTCATGTGTTTACCTTACCGTCCAGGCAGCCACCGGTTTCAGTGCAATTTGAGGATCAACTGGCTGTGATTTGATAGCTGCATTACATTGAGCTTAAAGCCAACTTGAGCTTTTGGTACATGCTGTTAGAACAAACTGGCATGCTTTGCATATTAAACCCAGGAGATATACAATAAGCAACAGTATTTAGTGATAATAAGCTAATGTTATCATACTGACATGCTAAACTGATATGGTGTACATGGTAAACATTTACCTGCGGTCTGCGCATGATAGCGTGTGTGCGTGTCAGTATGTGCATGTATGTGTGTGTGTGTGTTTGTGTGCGTACAGTATGTGCCTAAATACATCCCCACCCAAGGCATGACGTTAGTAGTTGCTGTTTGGCAGTGAGCTCGTAGATGCCAGGCTGGCACCAACAATAGAGACTCTTCAAAAATACTGCAGTGGATCCAACTGCATTAATGACATGTGTTCACACTGATGATTGATTCCCTTCGAGCTACATTTAAGTCTCTGCAGGTTATTTAAAACATCTTTTAGTCACACACTTGCTGATATGGGTGTTAAGGAAAACACATGTGAATTAGTCATAAAACTGGTTGACCAGATGAGACAGCTGTGTTGAGTTCACTGTTATTCATCTCACCTATTTTTGTTGCCTTCATAACAACCCACAACCTACATGTTGTATCTGCCGCGTTTTAATTAATATAATAATAATATCTGTTTGGTCGAGTGTGAACAAACACGAAACTGGCACTGGCTGCTGGGAAATGTTGATCGGCTACTTCAGTAGCATCTGTTCAGGTTTGTAATGCCAATACAATCTGTTTTAAACAGATCCAGTAAGGGAAGTGGCACAATTCACACAATGCATGTTTTTTTTATAATGAAGTAAAATGAACTTTAATCCCAGTAGAATCAAACTTTGTGAGGTGGTGTTATATCTGATTTCACAATGCCTCTGCAGGCTTTGTTGAATATTTTTCACTGCATATATTTGCAGGTTTTATCAACACTTCTTTTCACAAATATTCAATATATTCCTTTCTTTCTGCTTTTCAGAGCTGAATCTAGCAGCAGCTATCTTGGCCCTTTTGAGTCTGACCATGATGGCAATGGGCTCCATCTGTATCGGCATGTCCCTCAACAAAGGAGTGCCCTTCTTTCTCAAGCCAGCCTCCTTCTGTTTCATCCTATCAGGTGGGACCTCACATTCTAACGTATTACATTCAAGTATCCATACCTGACTGATGTTTGGCAAGATAATGATTATTTGGTCTTTATGAGTTGTTTGTGGATATTACGCAGTTATAGTGTGATGTAATCTGAACGTCCTCTCTGGTTGCAGGTGTGCTGGTCCTCCTGTCTGTCCTGATATTCCACCAGTCCGTGCTGGCCTTGCTGTCCAGTGATGACTCCATACCTTTACACTATGAGCTGTCCTGGTCTGTGGCCTGCGTCGGCTCCGCGGGAGGAATTCTTATTTTTGGAGGTTGCCTCTTTATCCTCCTCTCTCTTCCTTTCAGCCCCTGGGAGAAATGCTTTCCACACAAGAATAGCGTCACCTAGCACTTGAATGATGATACAATGTGCACACAGTATTCTTGATGTATTGTTTGAGAGTGGAAAACATCCATTTTCTGAAGGCAGTGACTCTGCTTATTCTCGGCATTTAATTTGTCAGAGAAGTCATACAAGGTCTTAATCAAAATGTTTGTAGAGAATTCAGAAACACATTAGATAGGCCTCCAGAATTTGAAACAAATGTGTTTTAGTGTTTTTTTTTGGTAGAAATAGCTGGACATAGCAATTTTAGTTTAATGGTTTCATTTTAAGCTCTTTCTTGTGTCACACAAATCTTATTATCCTTTCTAAAGTTGTACGTCCACATACAAATATCTACTACAACTTTCTGCCAGCATAAGTATATCATAAAAAACCTTTTAAAGGCTCAAACACTTTTTTTTAAACTTTAATGCTAAGTATGGAAGCCCATTTCTGTCAAGGAAAAAAAAATGATGGCTTAGATTGAAATTAGTTTATTTTTATTTTCTCTACAGTTTTTGTGGCTTTACAAAACAAAAAACAGAGTTTCTGTTATAATTAATATGGTTGCTAGACGGGGCTGTCTATCGAACGCAAAAAATACTGTATAGTTTTGTGTCATATCTGCTAAATAATATATTGTAAAAAAGTTCATATTCTAAGTGCTATGAAGCTTTTATACACGTACTACTTGTTAAAGAAGAGGCTTCATGCCATTATTTATAACTTATGTGTGTTTTTTTCAACAATTTGCTGAATGCTGCTTCAGTATGAATGTATGTTGAATGAAAGCAACTGTGAAAAGGGATTAAAATACCTTTTTGTATATCAGAGAATTGTATGGACTCACTTTATAAGCTCAACTTTGTACATAAACTGAATGAATGTGTTTATATTGTACGAATGGTCTCTGTTTGCAATGTTGTCTCCCGTCACTTTATATGTAATATGTAATATGCAATAAGTACACTTTAAATAATGTCATAGGATGCTCTCCTTTTCTCTCTACCAAGAAATGCTATTTTACCATTTTTAGGCTTATTTCTACTCATATATATGTACATTATGTGGCGCCGGTTTTGCTTATCATTAAAGGGATTTGACATAAAATAATTGTCCCCCTTTTGTTTGCTGACATGACACTTTGTACGCTCTCAAACTTGACATTCACCCATTTTCATCCCTTCAAAGTGACTCTTAACCTCTCTGCCAAACACCACCATCCCCCAAGCCTGCCCCTCTATAATTAGGCCAGTGCAGCTCATCGCAATGCATTTCACTGCAGAGGTTGGGAAACCTTACCCTTGAATTTCAACTATGTTCCCCCAGCCTACCCTCATACCCCTGTGCCTTTCCTCTCTCTCTCTCTCTCTCTCTCTCTCTCTCTCTCTCTCCACCCCTGACCTTGTTGCGTCACTTTCCCTGCTGTCTCCAGGCGAGCCCACCTGTCACTACTCCACCCTACCTCCACACACACCTCGACCCACACCTGTGCCACACACACAACCACACACAAGACCGATCAACAGACCGATCAGAACCGAGATGTCCCACTAACATATCTAACACTTGATCTGCTGGTGAGTGAGTGGCATCCAGGCACCTGCACACACACTCACACATCCATTTAACTCTCAGTGGGCAGAAACTGAATCCACATGACACACTATCCTGGTTGTATATTTAGCTGTTAATAGTGCTATTGAGACTCTGTGACAAGTGGGGCACAACCAATAGCTGCATGTTTGTAAATGGGTCTCTTGATAGAAAGGGGAAAACACTTTGTTTGCTTTGGCCACCTCTCATCCTTCCTCACTAAAGCTAGGCTGCATCACTGTGACTAAGACTGTAGGTATGATAATAGCAGGGAAAGGCACATCAGATAATCCTCAGGGTCCCGAGCACCGCTAGGAATCTCAGGCCCCTTGTCAAGGATGTGACACTGCTTCCCTCGGCCCTAATGCATCTTAAGTACAATTTCTTGTCTCTGAAGGGACTCCCGCATCTTAAACCACACTGGAAGTATTCCCACTTTCCTCTTTACAAGTGATCAACCCTGTGAGGTCAAGCAAAACCTAAAGTGGACCTGAAGGTACCAAAGCCAACGGTTAGTCATAAAATGGTGCAATGATGTATTATGGAAAGTCATTTTTGTTTTTTGGGTTAGTGAATTTTCCTATTAATGTTTAGTAACATTAGAAAACTGAGAATGAGCGCAGGACAACTGAAAAAAGTTGATCAGGTTTAAGAATGGGAATCGATCATGGTTTTGGGTAAAACAGTAAAATACAGAAATGATGGGAATTTGGTTTCTTTAAAAACAAGTCAACGTTTAATTTTGATTTCACACAGGACAAGAAATGCGGTCTCCTGGGTGAAAGTGTTGTCCTTTAAAACCCACCTATCCACCCTGACCTCATCCATGGTAAATGTTGTCGCTTTTTATAGACAACTACGTAACCTGTCATGGACAACTATTATGTGGGATTTATGGGAAATAAGTCAATGGTTTATCTTACAATTGGTGCAATGCTATTTGTAAGTATTACTACCAACAGTTAATACGAACAGCCAGAAGCACACCTTCACAGTACTTCATAATTGTTCATACAAAAAGATGCATGAGGTACCAGATGGCCTATCAGTAAGAAAAAATGCTATGAATTAATTTGAGATGCTTTTCTCATTATCATATTTTACATACAGCCCATCTGGTGCTTCCCATTTATTTGCAAATATTATACAGGTCTGACAACAAAGGTCAAATTCTTTTTAGGATCACAACACATCAAAGATTGCTAAGAGACCTTGAGCATGAGTAACTTAGAGCTGCTTTGTCCACTTAAGACAAAACAGTGGTGGGAAGTGACTGAATTTACTTTATCAAGTACTGAACTTTAGTACAGTATTTTTTCTTTCTTTCTCATACTTTAAGTGTAGCATAATAATTCGTCCCTATACTTCTTGACTTAGACTTAGAAATCCTCTGTAGACATGTTTGAGACAACTATACATTTTCTGGATTGAACTAAGATGACTATCTCAATTTATGAATCACGAACATATTGTATTTCAATATTTAAGTACAGGACACAAAGTCTTCTACTTCCCTGTAGAGTCTATTCTCAGAATAGGTGCCTGTGGGGTTTCAAGTGTTTACATCACACTTGATCCGGTTGCATTTCGGATCATGATTGGCTACCAAAGACTTACCAATGGCTGTACATGTTTTCATTTGGTGAGTAGAGAAACTTTCAGCAACAAAAATGTGAAAGATAATCCTCTAGTGTCAGACTGCACAGGTATTATTCTGTACAATGAAGATCAGCAATGTTGAGTAAAATAAAGTTACACATTCATTTCACTTTTAATGATAGTAAATGCTCTAAAGTTTGCTATTGCTATTTTACCTAAACCTGCAATAAGTGTTGTTTTTTGAAATTGTTAGCAAAGAGATGTTTATCATCTAGCTGTTAGAAAGTTACATCATCATCGTTTGAGGTTGAGTTTCTGCTTTCCTAATGATTTAAGTTCAATATTCACTTTCTTTTAGCTCTTTTTTGAGGTTAATATCTGTCTATTTAGCTGCTAAATGCTCCACTCCGTCCACTAGCATGTCGCTCACTGTGTTTGTGTGGGCAGTAAGTGTGACTTTTATGCTTTAGTTTTTATGCTGAAAACAGTTGCTAGTTTAAACTGAAAACAATGCGGATTTGAGTGAACCAAAAACAGTTAAGATGTTTAAGATGTTAAAACTCGCTCTAAAGCTCCCTAAATCCGAGGGGAGCTGCAGAATTTAACTTTAAATACATTGTTAACATATACATTTTAATTATAGCCACTTGAAGTAAATGGTCTGAATACTTATTGACTGTCGACAGATGCTCTTGAGGAAACTCAACACAGGTATCAGCTCACTCTGATCATCAGAAGAGACCCCATTCTTTTTTCTTGGCAAACAGAAACAAAAGACAGCAGTCTGTGTATATGTCTGTTATCGTTTTTTTTATAAACTTCGTGCAATACAGTGTTTAAGTTTATCACACATTTAGATAAACCATAATCATTTGTCTAGATATATCTATTCTCAACTACATACTATTCATATTGCCCACATAAATGCTATCTGTGTGCAGTTTTTAATCACATTATTCTTTTTTTCAAATGAAATCAAAGAAATGAAAACCAATAGAATCTGGAAGCGTCTCGTTGTTTTGTTTTGCTTCTTCATTATATCATGTAGCGGCGTGTCCATGGTTTCAACCCGGATCTGCAGTCACTCTGTGTGTGTGTGTGTGTGTGTG